TTCAGAGATTTTTCTATAAACTCTTTTAAATGTTTAAACATAGCAGACTTCTTCTGTTTTTTCCTGGTTTATAAAGTTCGGCGGGGTTTGCTTGAGTTCGCCTCTGGCACCGCCGTCTCCTGCATAAATGTAAAGTTTGTCAAACTTTTGTTTCAAAAGTCAAAGGCGCACAATGTTGATGAATGAGCTGGAACTGAATGAACGCTGGAATGGAACAGCAGAGCGCAGCAGGAGGCGCTCCCGTGTTTTCGTCAAGTTCCGCTCTTATCGCGGCGAAGGCGAAAATTAATGTGCACTTAACTTCCTTCTTTTCGGAGTCTGTTGCCGGAGCGAGTTGTGAAGCATTTAAAAACGCATAAATGTATTTTCCGGTGCCCACTGCCATGCCCACGCCCACGCTCACGCCTTAGCTACTCATATAATGCCAAATTTATGAACTGCAAGACAAAGAAAACAAAAAAAAACGAGAAATATTAATTGCCCTGAGGTGCAAGACACTGGCCAAGTAAATTTTGTTAGCTTGCCCCAGCCGACAGCGAGTCGAAGCAAGTGTCAGCTGCAAGCTACTATTAAAAAAGCATCATGCACTGAGTATGGGCAGAGGGGGCGGGGCTAGTGGTAGGAGATGTAGGTGTGCTGAGTACCGAGAATTACCTGGAGAAACTGTAGCAACGAGTTTTACGACCTGCATTTCCGCTAGCCACAAAGCAAAGCACAAGCCCGAACCGAAGCTGTCTTCCTGTTGTGGCAGCAGAGGTAGAGTTCGAGTTGGAAGCTGCAGCATGAGCAGCAGCAGCCAGTGCTTGGCATCCGAAAATGCGGAAACGTCCATTTTATAGCGGAAATATATTCTTATGCGGAGACGCGGCGATGATTTATGTATGTTTTGGCATTACGTGCCACAGCAGCAGCAGCAGCAACAGAAGCAGCAGCAGCAGAGTTTTGTGTGAGAATTTCGAATTAAATTCCTTGCCCCATGACGGCAGCTTATGAGAAGTAATAATAAAAAAATATGTATATATAATTTATGTAAGGGTGTGTGTGTGTGTGTGTATAGAAACTTGCAACAGAAATGGGTCAGGCTCATACAAATGCTGCGATTATTTGCATGCTCGACTCTCAAGTATTTCTATTCGCCTTTGTGGCATGGCAAATGCAAGTCGAGGGCAAGCTGCACGCTGCACGCTGCACGCTGCGTATCTTTGCGTCACCTCGTCTTGAATTTGGGTTAAGTGTGCTTCATATGCGTTTATGCTGACATTATTATAACTGAGCTCTGCGCCGCCCTGTGGCCACGTCAAACTGCTCTCGATTACAGTGCAGCGTTGCAACTTTTGCAGTTGAAGTTGAATGCATGCGTGCGACTGCAACTGCCACAGTCGAACTTTTATTTTCTGCTGTAATCAACAACAGCCATTTTAAAACAACAGCAGCAGTAGCAACAGCAACAGCAGCAGCAACAACAACAACAACGAGTTGCAAACGCAAAAAGTTTTTGCAATTTTGCAGGCAAATTTTTAACGATTTTTTTCTTTTTCTTTTGATGCCTATAAAATATTGGCAAATAATTAAAAAGTTTTCCACTGCGCAGCTAATGGAAATTGAAAAGTTTTGTGAGACTCCATACAGCTGACATTTTATAATTTGTTAAAAGTTCATCAAATTAACGCAAAAAACAAAGAAAATTCAATTTCACATTTATTGCCAAGGTCTTATAGATCAGTAGAATCGTTATGTACAAGTAAAGTTTCATAAATAAAAATTTGAAAACTTTTTCAAAGCTAACTCTGATGAGACTGACTTTTGGCACAATCAAATTATATATTTCAATTTAATCTCGTTAAATTCAATTATACTAATAGAGCTGAATTTAGCTTTTCGGCTTTGGCTTATGCTGAAGATAACTGTATTTAAATAATGGATTTATTTTTTAACTTCTGACCAAAATCTATGGAAAATTAAAAGTTTTTTTTTTATTGCTTTATGCAGTCATTAATATCTCTTTAAATTAATTACCATTTATTTAAACTGCAATTAATTGCTTAAAAGCATTTATAGGCAGTTACATACACCACATATAAATTTATAGATACAGATACATTTAATGCATGCGTATGGCTACACACACACACATGTTTAATGGCAAATGCCAGCAGGCAAATAATATAATGCATTGCATTTAATGAAATTTACGGGTCAACACCTCCCAGGGGCACAAACACACACTCACGCACATGCACACTCACATGTATGCATGCATATTGTGCAAATACATTTGCTTAAACACACCCACACATACATACACGGCGCTCACGTTATTTCACAAGCCGACAACGCATATGCATTCCTGCATAATTTATACCCTAAGGATGGTAACTCTATTAATATATACGTGGAAATCTATATGTGTTAACCATCAGTTTATTTAATTGGGCACTCTTAAAATTCCATAAGATTATCAATTAAATAAATATTTATTTAAATTATAGTATTTTATTTATATAAATTATTTGCTTAAAATAAATATTTGTTCTAGCAACTGTAGAGTATTTAATGTTCAACAGCTGAACTTTAATTATGTTTTTTATGTTATTCTTGTTTTTTATTTTGTGGTCCCTCCATACTCCTCTCACTTGTCATTTTATCTCTTGGCTCTGCTTATATTGCTGTCTCGCTCGCGCGCATGGCTGTATGCATTTTTGCACTTACATACATTCGCGATGCGAAAGAGTGCATAACATAAGCATTTATAGAGGCCACCGAGCAATGCGGCAGCGAGAGTGCGACAGATAATTTTTGTTGTTGAGCGTTTCTGGCAGTGCCAGTTGCCATTTACCGTTAACACGTTAACGTTAACCGTTTCTTTTTGCCCGCACTTGGCAATGCGTTTCCTTATTTCGTGATATCTTTTATACATATATGTATATATATATATGTATATAATACTTTTGCTGGCTTTTGCAGTCAGCTTGTTGTTTGTTCTTGTTGCTGTGCTTCTTGTTTTTGTTTTTTTTTTGTGTTCTGCCTGTCATTATGTTCGGCTGCGCAGCGTCTACATACGTTGTGCACATGAAATTTTATGATGAGTATTTCGCGTATTGTGCGCAGTTGACGTAGCCATTCCAGATAGCGAAAACGCTGACAGGCAACAACAACAACAACAAAAACAACAGCAGCAAGAATGCCAGCACGTACAGCAGCATTCGCAAAATAAGCAAACAGTTCCATGTCCTTCACCAAAGGCATGCGTCGTCGACTGCAGGTGTTATGCAAATACATACACACACCAATATAGATTTATGTCTGTATGTGCGATTGTTTGCATACGAATGCGTACTGATGCGTATGCAACTGCCGCTATGTACATA